CACAGAGATTGAAAACGTCTCTTATTCAGATGATTACAAATAATACAATGTCTCATAAACAAGTGGACGTTTACGAGAGCTTAAAAACAAAAGAAACGACCAGTTGGTAATTCCCAAAAGTGGGTCGCGGTCGCTTACAGATGCCAGGAGCGGTCGCTTATGAGAGCTTTTAATTACAGAGTTTGAATGACAATTCAAATAGGGTTTCACAATGGTGGTCGTAGCTAGGGCTTGGTCGCTTACAAGAGTGGTCCGCAACAAGAGCTTCAACAGTAGTTACTTTTTATTGATTATTATTGATTTCAATTTTTTGGGGGCGGGGGGATGGAGGGTAAGAATAATAGGGGTTCCATGGACAAGGTCCATACAGTGTACTGAAATGATCCATGGACCCGGTCCAAAAGGGGGGTCCCATGTCCTCACCTGGTGAAATATCATCATCAACAACAATCCTTTTCAGTACTTAACGACTACTCTCACCAAACCACCCTCGCGCCCTGGGTGATAGCATTAAACAAGAAAAGTACAATGTACTGAGACCCCAGGGTTCAGACCATTTACATTACATTTCTGTACTGTTGAGTATTTCTATTGACCACTGACTATTCCTGGAAACATTTTTTTCTCCACACCCTTCAAGGCATATTGCCCCGAGTTGCACTAAATTCAGTGCTTTTTACTTTATTTTTCGACTGAAAATTGTGTTTTCTTCTTTTTCTTTGATAGGCATGCTGATTGGCTGATGTGAAAATTGTCCAAGAATAGACCACAATATTATTAAATGTATTGTTATTGAGGAACTGCAGTGACAGCAAGAATTTGAAATGCACTGGAGACATGTGATTGTGATCAATATACTTTCTTGCTAGCATTCAGTAAATGATGTGAACAGCTTGACATTACTTATTGAACTTGAGGCAAAGTTTTTGAAAATGATATTATCATAAGGATAAGGCATTTTGCCGTACACAACTGTAGTTTTACAATCATGACTGTTCAATAAAAGGTGTTATATTCAAAAGCAAATGTTGTTCTTCATTATGCAAAGACGCGTTTATAAATCGGTGGTCGGGAAAGGGATCAGGATACAAGGAATTGCTGTAGAAACAGGAGACGCTGGTGCCTTTTAGCGTGCTATGAAATTCGGGTAAAAAATTGCTTGGCACATGACGTACCGTGGCATTTCAGTCCACTGAAATTTCTTTGGTACGTGACGTACCGTGGAATATCTGGGACAGGAATCCTGAGTGACACGTCTCGTACCGTGGAATTCCGTCGATGACAATCATTTAAGAAAAGCAAATAATAATTTTGTAAGGATGAGATGCGAAATGGCCGCAACTTGATCGACTGTGCTCGTTCTACGGTACGCCCTCATTCTCGGCAAATCCGGAAGAATAAGAAAATTTCCGGGCCTTGACACGCCGAGTTTCAATGACGTACCGGACATCGGATTTTCCATGCCACGGAAAAAGTCCGATTCGGGGAAAAATACGGGTCCTGACACGCGGTGGACACGTCGCGTGTCTGGAGCACGATATCACCGGATTTGTCGTATTCTCGAAGAATACGGGTCCGTATCGTGTAATTTCAGGACCACGACACGCGTTATTTTACGCAGT